CCAACCAGGGAGCCGAGACGCTCCAACCGAGGCCAGCTCAGAAGTGAGGGCCTTCATTCCTCTGGACCAAGTCATCGCTTGACCACCCCTCCTCTTCTTCCATCCACACCTCCGGTGCGCAAACAACGCACGTCGCGGGATTCGGTGGGTTGGCATGCGTAACACGTGGCCGAGCCATCGGAGCTTGGTGCGTGAAATGACGGTGCTGAGCGATTCAGATCCTTTTCCTGTGCCGGAAACAAGGTGTTGAACATGATCCTTGCTTACGCAGTGTTCACACCAGATGTGAGCCAAACTGCGAAGGCACCGATGGTCGAACGTAACTAGCCTTTCTAGTCCGCCGATCTTAGGGACCAGGTTTCGCAACCGTACAGTAGGGTCGAACGTACCGCTGAATGGTACACTCTACCCTTCAGGACGAGAGTGATGTCGCGCCGGCGCCATAAGTGGCGAAGGTTAGCAAAAGCGCCCCGAGCTTTTGCTATACGGTTCGTGATCTCATCCTCAATCCCACGGGCGCTGATACAACTTCCCAGGTAGTTGAATTTTTAAACGATTTCTAGCTGATCCCCACCAAGAGTCAGCATAAAGTGCGGTCCAGACCAAACTTGGAGAAACGTTTTGCACTTCGAGGGTGCGAAGCAAAGCCCGAAATGACTGACAGCTATTGCTAAGGTGTCCAGTGCCGCTTGGCACATTTGTGAGCTGTCACAGATGAGGTCAATATCATCAGCATACTCTAAGTCAAGAAGTTGTTCTCCTGGGAGTAGCTTCACACCTTCTAATTCGTGTACTGTGAACGCGATTTCCATGACTTCGTCAACAGCGAAGTTGAAGAGGAAAGGTGACAGAGGGCATCCTTGTCTCAAGCTGCTGGAGATATTAAAGGGCGACGACAACTTGCCGTAAGCCCTCAATCGGCCTGAGCTACGCGCATATAATGCTCGCATAATATTTTCATATTTCTCAGGTACACCTTTCCTGAGTAAACAGTCCCATAGTGCATGTCTATCCACCGAATCGAAGGCATTTTTGATATCGAGACAACGGTGGACCGCCAATATATGTGACGGTGCTCCAACAACTGACGCCAAGTAAAGATGTGGTCAATGCAGCCACGATCTCGACGAAATCCGGCTTGCTCCTCACGAATCTGGCTTTCACGAATGCCAGTCATTCTGTGACGGTTGACAGAGGAGAGCAATTTAGAGGCGATGGATATCAGACTGATTCCTCTATGGTTGCTGCATTCCGATCTTGTGACTGCCTTGAAAATTGGGACTATGACGTAGCGGCTCCAGTCGGTTGGGACAGTTTCCTGCTCCCACAGTTTCATTAGTAATTCGTATAAATCAGCCATGACAGGAGGTCCCGCGAACTTGGAGAGGGCTGAAGGAAGATCATCTGGTCGCGCGGCTTTATTTTACTTCAACAGTTCGGTATCATGTTCGACTTCTGAGCGAGAGGGTGGATCCAAATGGACAGCCCAGGGTGTGGGGCGATCAGTAACGGGCGAGAAATCTAACCATTCCGAACGATTCAATTGCCTTTTAAAGTGCTCAGCCCAACGCTCTAAGCTTTTTGACAAGGCGTGGATAGGCTGTCCACTCTCGTCACGTATAGTTTCACTAACACCAGGTCTCCTGCTGCCCGTTTCCCGTATCAGACGGAATAACTTACGAAGATTACTAAGGGCAACGGCCATTTCCATATCTGATGCACGATGAGACTACCAGGATTCGCGGTCTCTCTTCAGGCTAGCACGGTGTTTTGCCCGGAGCTCTTTGCGAGTTTCACTGTGTTCGCTTCCAGCCGGAATATATCGGCGTGCACCGATAAGTTCCATAGACTGCGAAGAGACCCCATGTCCATGTTGACGATTAGACTTATCACATGAGGATTTTCCTGCTGCCAGTAAGGTCTGGTGAATATGAGACCAAGGAGCTTCAATTGCATCCAGTGAGCGCTTATTCAACTCTCATGACAACGTACCTTGATAGCCATGTAGAGCAGTTGGCTGCTGTCAATGTGGTCACGTCGTGGTGGGCGTCCACCAAAGCGCATCCGCAGTTCAGCGCATAAAAGTGCATGGTCGGTGTCTACGCATGTGCTCCAAATCGAGCGATAGTTCTGGACGCAGTCTCTCCATCAGTGGCTTAACGCAACGTGATTGATTTGCGTCCATAGCTAGTTCGATGCTGTTGGGCGCCGTCAGCCTCCGGCGGGTACCATATCGGAAATTAGTTCTCGCAAGAAATAAGCGAGCATTCTCACATAAAGATGTAACCGCTCACCGTTCTTATTCCGAGAGCCTACCCCATGTTGGCCGCCCAGCTGCAGTTCATCAGTGGGTAATTTTCCAACTTGAGCGATCAGATCCCTAGTCAGCACTACAGTGTCCCAGCTTCTTCTGTAGCGAAGGAGCTCGTTCAGTTGACGATGGAAGTTGTCTTTTGCCGAATCATCGCTAGAGTTTGTGGGTGTACAGGCAGCGATAACGAATAGATACCCGTTAGTCACACGCGGCTTCGAAGTTTTGAACGAGCCAGCCAATCTGTCTGCACCCATCCGGCTACCGATTGGAATCCAAGCAACCAGAGTAGCTTCAGCCCGGGGACTCAGGACAATACCAACATCGGCTTGGCAGATGCTCGAATCTGCATCGTCACCGGATAGGCGCAATGAGAAAGTGCTGCTAGTTTTAACTGAAGGGGATCCCAAAGTGAGCACAGAGCTCGGGTCTTGCATGCGGGTTTCCGATAAGCAGCAGATATCGATCGAGAGGGTCTCTAATGTTCAGGCAAGCGTTGCCAATTGAGCGATCTGAAGCAATGTAAGTACATTGAAGTATGCCAACCTGAAGGAGGATTGAGCGCTCCAAATGGAATCCGATGAACTGGGGTGGACCGCTTGCTTGGACATGGGTCTGTTGACTAGGCAGGATTGACTCTCCGCGTTCACGTGTGGGTTAAAACTAGACGACAAGCGACTATTGAAGCAAGGTAGGGTAGGGCCGAGAATTGAGGGGTTAAAAACAGGGGGGATAAAATTGAAGCTGAAACGGGACGATAAGGGTGAAAAAGCGTAAGAAGGAGAATAAAAATATGGGTATGCTTGAGCAGCAGCATCCAAACCCCGATCCACGCTGCCAGATGCAGCAGATAGGGCATCGTTGATTATCCTCTGCGGTGGCCAGAGCATCAGAAATTTGTTTGAAGAGAGATTCATTGTATTGCGTAGGCGGGATACTGTCAGGTTGCCCATGGCTAGACAGGAGAACGATAATGGTTCTCAACCAAAGCCTTTGATTCAAAAACCTGACCTCAAGGCAGCGGGTTTGGCACTGGGCTACAAAGAGTCCGTTTTAAAGAATAAGGTGCCACCCTCATTCCAACCCCCAACCTGGAGGACCAGGAGGCTGAGTTTGTCTGGCCTCTAACCATTGACCAATCTGGTATGAGTGACTCTGACGGTGCAAAAGCATCACCCAGCATAGCTCAGTGGATCACGGAGGCACACAAACCATCTAAACACGGTAACGTTCAGCCTCATTGTGATGGACATCGTGCGACAGATGAACGCAAACAAAGTGTCTGTTCATCGCCGGCCCCAAAACATTATGGGAGCGATATTTGCATCTATCAGCATGTAACCAACATAACAAGTTCACCGAATGGAGCTTTGACTGCAAACAAACCGTTTTTATTTCGTGCAGACCGATCTAACTGTAACGGGGTTGAACAACAACATACTGGTAGAGAGTTAGCCACCAAGCCGAATAGCCTAATACCGACTTGGGACGCCGTAGGCAGAAGGCTCCGTAATGCTGTTTTAAGTAAAATAATCCCAATGGCCGGTTTGCATAGGCGCGCGCAAGCGTAGTCAATTAACGTGCTCATCATGCGCACCTGAATCAGAAGTGTCCAGCAGTTTCGGTGCACAAAACAGGATAGAGGGGAAATAAACTGGAAAATGTCTATTGAAGCCACTAGAGAAAAGTGATGCTTCGAACTGGTGGTTTTCTTTGAGTATAAATGTAGCCTATGCATTATATTATCACTAAAAATAATTCATTCTAGATTTTACATCCGACTCACGCAAACAAACTGAAGGTTATGGGCTCCAGTTACAGTTGATGAGATGCTCTAAAACATGATGGTATGCTTTTGATAACGTGTTTAGTTTTTAGTTGTATCCATTGGCATGCATGCAGCGTTTTCGACAGAAGCTACTAATCTTTTAGCAATGCAGATTCTTTTAACTCTTTGATAATTATAAATGTCTAGTAAATTTCGCTACATTCGAAGCAATCGTTGACGCGTTCCCCGTGATGACCAGTCGACTCTGACAAAAGAGATGTTGAAAAATTGGTAGGATATTTCATACAAATTTTCTAGGAGCCTTGAAGATAACCTTCTTGAATAGTAGACAGTGGCTTGTCCACTTACATGATAGTCCTCCCAATGGGTATTTTTTTACTTCATTTTCACATGCTGCTTCCTATGACAGATTATTTCCACTGTAGCTGAATAAGTAGCATACACTCGTCCCACCCTACCCCCACCCTAAAAATCCTATCCACTAGATCCCATCCCCTCACTCCCACCCCCTAAATCCCTTCATCACCCCCTTCTGTCCCACCATTTCTGGGAACGTGTTCGGACGGTCACATATCTGTGTACCCCCCCACGCTACATAGATCATTACTCTCTCAACCTAGACATTCCCTCATCCTATAATATCACGTCATAGTAGCACCTAAATACCATGCTACCCCCACTCTCTCACTCACCCCCCCCCCCCCCCACCACAAATATATAACCCCCCATCCCATCAACCTTCCATCCCCCCACCCCCTATCCACCCCCACCCCCCCCCTCATTGTGAGTATCGGATGGCCAGATAACATGCGCTTTTTTACACTACACCCACGACTGACTACCCCCCTCATTTCCAAATCCCCTATAGCGTCCATTGTGTGCGTCTCACTATGTCTGTACCTACCACTCTGAAAAACGCTGATTGAGACGATCGAACCCTCGCTCTAGACCCCTCCCCCTCCCGCCGCCCCCCCCCCCCCCCCCCCCTCGCCCCACCCTCGGATCACAGATGCATAGACCTTCACATAGTATGATGAATACCGCTCTCCTAATCTCCCCCCCCCCCCCCCCCCCCCCCCCCCCCCCCCCCCCCTTCCCCCGCGCCCCTCCCGCCCCCCCTCTTACGTGTGTTATATCCCCAATTTGTGTCCTATATGATACGGATGTGTGATCCTAGAATGTCCGCCCCTGTGCTCTGCTACGGTGGCGTATATCGTTGGATAGAAGAGCGGTGAATATGAGTCCCATCGCCCGGTCTGAAGATGCCGTCCGACTCGCGCGCATGCGCGCTGTCAGGCATATCCCATCGTCCTTGAGAGTGAGGAAACCGTCTGGTTTGTTGAGATAGAACGTGCCTCGTTCTGACGCGCTCTTTTGGAAGTGAGAAAGTTGCCCTTTAGCCATCGTTCGCTGGATCTCGTAATATCTTTAGTCTCTTCCAGTCTTTCATCATCGTTGTTTTGCGATCTTGCTGGCGTCTGATGGCACCCTCCTATCCATTACCAAACCCCCAAAAAACCCCCCATCTCCCTCTGTTGAGAACTATGTCGCTTAGGCTAGTCTACTATCACGCTCGCTACAATCATCCCATGCTCCTGCGCGTACCACAAACATATAAAAAATAAAATCTCACTAGAAAACATAGAACAATGAGATAGATAGAGAAAAATATAGAATTAGAGAAGAAAAAAAATGTGCAGAGTCCCAGATAAGCTTGTATCGTTGCCAGATCAGAGCATTGGTGGTACTCAGATCGCAATTCTGCGTCACCGCGCCTTCTCTCCGCGAGTGCCTAGTTCATTTGCCAACGCAGTGTAGATCTAGTATTAGCCTTTACAGTGACACTCGAAAGTGTATGACAGACTCTCGCTTCTGATTTTGCACGACGGAAATTAAGCTTCTGCTGTGTACGATCGCTCATCATAAGCTGCGCGAACAATCGGCTTCGCACGTCCTTTTGTGCGCACGCGCATATTCACGTTGCGTACAGACAGGATCTAGCAGATCCGACTTGACTTCATCTATAGTGATGTTAGCGACGTGCGAGACTCTTCGCGACCTGTGTTTCTTGTCACCGTTACATCACAGGTTCGAGAAAGAGCTGAAAGCCTGCGTCTTGCTGAACACATCACGCGTGCATGACCTGTGTTAATCTGCTCCTCGTTTAGTGCTGAGTATACTGCGGACTTGGATGACTGGCTGATTTTGTACGGCTGCCTCGTTTGCTCATGTGTGAAGACGAAGGAAGTACTCGCACGCTGATGCCGCAACAGATAGACCTTCTCGCGCTCGAGCACTAGTGGACCAGGCTTGTTTGCTTATGTGGATCTCGTCATGAGAGAAGATAGTAGACGCCTGGCAGGTCAGTAATGACTTCCTCGAGACAACCTCATTATGAGTGTAAGAGTAGAGAGAGTAAGAAGTGCATCAGATAGTTTTCCAGCGTGAAGAGTAGAACCCCTCTATCTGATCGCTCTCATCTGTGTTCGTATCGTTTTATCTAGATCACTCTCTTCTGCTGTCCTCAGTGGGTGAGAGTCTATAGGCATCAGTTCATGTAGGAGTGCATACATGATTCTCAGGTGATGTTTCGCTCGCGTGATAGAGCATGGCTGATTGACCTGAGACCATGTACTGGAATGTCTTGTACCAGCCGCGCCAGTAATCCGCGTGCTGTTACTCAAACTATAGAGCCGATTAGCAACCCCGTGTGAAGCTAAGTGACGCAAGACTACTGCTCGTGTATCTCTAATGTAGAGCTCGTAGATGTTCAATTGCACGCACTGTGTCATGATCTAGCTAGTGTCTCGGCTTGAATGCACATTACCGAAGAGTATATGTCGCGTGAGAAGTTACACGGCTACGAGTTAGAGGACGTGTCTAGAGTACGGAAATCAGTAGAGACATCTCTCAGACACGTTCTCTTGTGTACTGTGCATGAAGCTAGCGACGACAGCTGATGGCGAAAGCCCCGACTCCTCTGTGTTGACCCCTAAGGAGAGGTCTACGCACGATCTATTTGAGCTCGAGTTCTAACTCGTTTTTGGACGTTTGAAGATTGTTCTGTGAGACTGCCTCTCTATCTTCGTAGTATCAGTAAGTCGGTCTGTGTAGTGTTATGTCTGTTGTGTATGTCTTGCATCACTGTCTGACTAGGCACTATGTGTGTGCTCAGAATAGGGGACTCAGGTTTTTCTAAGAAGCGCACGCTATGCATCGATCTGAAGCCGTTTATACGTGCGCCGGGCTTAACGCATGTAGAAGTCGCTGTGACCATTGCTGCAGTGAGTGATATAGTCCGGTGATGTTCCAGTAAACTGACGCTGTTGCATGAAGTGTGCGATAGCTCCCCCCACCCCCAGTCTTTCAAAGAGCCCACTATCCAGCATGCTGACGATGTCTGTATGAGAGACAATCGGGAGCCAATGGATCTCGGCGCTCGCGCCAGGGCCTGCTCGCAGCTGCTATGAGGAGGGAGTAAGTGCGAAATGTAGATGTGTGATGGTATTTTACTATGTGAGAATTCCCAGTGCGTGGACTTCCATTGTTGTGCTCTTAACAGTATATGAAAGCCTTTCAATGGCTGTTAGTTCGGTCGATATCAAGGATACCTACCTCATCCTATCATAAATGAAGCGGTCCAAGGATACTTAACCTCGTAGTTCAATCCCGACAAATGCTGAATGCGTGGCGTGAATTTCGTAAAAGACTTCTTAAAAAATTGCAGTCGAAGGAGAAAGATGTCGAAATACGTCGATTGGAACATTTTACCGACAAAACAATACATCAAGAACTAGACATATTCACCCCGATGGTTCACAAACACGTTTACCATTGGACAGCAAATGGCTTGTTAATGTTTGCTTGTAAATAAACTATCACTGTATCAGGAATTGGTGTCAAACTGTAGACCAACCACCTTTCAGAAAGAGCAGGCACCCAAACAATTGACGCGATACTCAAACTGAATTTGGTATCTACCAATGCACCCCTAACAGCTGAAGTGCTAGAACTAACGTACAAGCCAGGTTGTTTTCAATCATTTCTGAAATCATGAGCTGTCGATCGGTTCCAAAGATTTTTCAAGTGCAATGCCCTTAAAGTAAGCTGACCGAGATTAGATAGCGTCACGCCACAACCGCGGGCTCACATCATGATTACAAATACTTGGTTAGAACCTGACCGATTGGAGAGTACTCTTACCAGCATATTGCAGCTTCGAAATGGCGAAGGTGTAAATGATAGTGAGGTAATTTTTGTCATACAAGATCAACTGATGTGAACACATTGTTCATCTATAAATCCGCGCCCCTGATTCACTCTGGTGTCCACTGCGGGTATAGAATAATGACATGTTTAGTAGCTGTAATTCACCATCCACCAAACCCTACTTCAGAAATGCGCTCCAAACTAAAACCACGTTCTGAAGGTTGCGCTGAACAAGTCATACAGTCACATCCTCATCGCGGCACACAGATGTGGAAGAGGTGGCAGCTCGACACTCATATCGCACCTGTTAAAGCCTATTTGTAAGAGTTAATTTCTACTTGTCTTTTATGCAACCACGTTAGCTCTGTCGCCAGCGTGTGAACAGTAAGCAGACTGTTGATGCTTGATGTTTTCATCGTTGGAGAACTGTAGGTTGACAGGATAGTTAGAAGCATTCTCATAACTTTATTATTTTGTTATATATGCTAGACAAAATGTCCTCAATAAATGATAAGGGCTATACCGGTACACATTTAGATGTGTTGTTAGCGATTGTTAAGGAGATAAACTGGCTCCACTCAACTGGATACGCAACCGGAAATTGACTAGAAAATCATTACAGTGACTTTCAGTGCACCGTTGGCCCGGCACCAAAGCAGAACTCCTCACGGTTGCCAACTCAAAACCAGGTTCATTTTAAAGAGTAAAACACAAATGTGTATGTAGAACGTTCTTTTCCATTCGTGTTTGTCACCCCGTAGAATGCTCTCTCAGAATCGGTCGTCTCTGCACCGACACTAACAGTATGCAAAAGACGGTTGGATGATGCACTTATCAACTTACACTTTGTCACATAGTGTTACGTCTCCATCCTACACCTGAAGTTTACCATGGAATTATTTCAATTTAACTGCGAGTGATGTGAATCTAAGCGGATTGCAGGACTACGGCGAAGCAAACGTTGAGTCCTTATTTGCATGTTTACAGTACTAAGTTTTAATATCATTATCATCATTATTTTTATGTTGATATCCCTACCAACTATCCAACGGGACTTGTGAATCAACGCTTCTTAACCCGTATACATTCATTCTTCATTGGTTTGAGATGTCGAGTGCGCGAAAATCTCCCAGCGTCGAAAACCGCACTGCATGCGTGACATAGCGTGACTACTGCGTAAAGTTTAGGCGTGGAAATGACACATCAGCAGTAACTAATAAAGCGATTTTGCCAGAACAGGCAAAATGCAAAATCCGAGCACTGGTAACAACTTGCGGGTTTGCATGACCAACAGTGTAATAAGCCAATATCTCACGGTTTCCCCACTCTCATATCCTCTAGATAGTAGGTTGCCAGGATATTTCCTCTGTTTTTATTTCCACACCGAAGAAGCAGCTAATGCCCTGCGGCTTCAATACGCCCCAAGTTTCGAACTCCCAACCTCTACCTGTCCCAGAATGTCATGCACATTACCGACACCACTGTTTACAAATGCAATTTTCAACCCATCAATTGTGCTAAGGAAGCTACTCTCACTGCGTGAGCATAATTCTCCGGGAGTTGACAACATGCGCCCGAAGGCACTGAAGGCTGTGGCCAACAAGCTAGTTGAACCACTATCACAGTTCTTCCAAAGGTGCTTTGATGAACAACAAGTCCCCACTATGTGGGAGTGTGACATTATCACCCCAATTTTTAAAGACGGAAGCCGTTCAGCTCCTGCAAACTATCGTCCAGTGACTCTCCTCCTTGTGCGCGCGAACGTGATGGAAGCAGTTGTCGCTGAGGCTTTAATGGACTACCTAAAAAATACATCTTGGCACCGGAGCGTCATGGCTTCCGTCAACACCGGTCATGCACCGCCAACCTACTGATTGCACGAGGTAGTTAGACGGAAGTGGTAGATGATGGGATCGGAGTCGACGTCATCTATCTGGACTT